CTGATGCGACCCCCTGGGCAGGGGCAGCTCCATCTTGGGCCTAGAAATGTATTTCAGCAGCACATGATCCCTGTCTGCAGACAATGCTTGGTACACCTATGGATTCATGGACCCCCTGCCTTTATTCGAGTCCTTGGAGCTGTGTGATTCCCAGGTTGGGAACCACTGTTGGGTAAAAGAAAAAAAAAGGCAAGAAGCGTGCATTCAGCTAACCTGGGAGGGAATCCATGGCCCTTTCCCATTAGCACATACCAGGAATGTGTGGGTACCCGTTCCCATTAGCACATGCCAGGAATGCGTAGGCTGGGGTGGCTGCAGGGTCCACGGTACTGTGGCCTGTCTCCTAGGGATCTCCCCAGTGCCCTCTGCGAAGGACGTGGGCGAGGACTTGGGAATAGGATCCCGGCTGCAGTGGAGCACAGAGGGGAGCCCCCAGGAGTGTTTCTGACCTTGTTTCTGTCTCCTTATCTGACCTGACTTCCTGGCAGTGACATTTACCAGATGGAGAAGGACANATCTGACCTGACTTCCTGGCAGTGACATTTACCAGATGGAGAAGGACATCGCCTTAGAGCAGGAGAGGAACGCTCGCTACCGACCTCCCAAAATCTTAGAGCCCACAGCCTTCCAGGAACCCCCACCCAAGGTGAGCCAAGCCCTGAACTCATCGGCCCCATCAGCCCCATGAATCACAGCAGAGCGGGGACCCTGTCCAGCCCCTCCCAGATCTGACTGCGCAGCTCATCTTACAGTGGCGATCAGATGGGCCTCTGCGTCTTCTCAGCCCTTCCACCCAACCATCCATCAGCCCTGAGGTCAGCCCCCATCAGTCACCTCGGCAGATGGAACCTGAGACAGCCAGAGAGCAGGCACCTTGTGGGGCTACTGGATCAGGCAGTCACCCTGGAAACATTTCCCTCGGGAGACAGCAGCACTTACCCTTTTGGTGTTTTTAGGGACAAATTAGATTCCCTTGAAGGTACGTGATGGGGAGCACTGAAGTCCAGTCTCTGATGTCCATGGCATCTCTGAGTGCAGGAGCCAATGCCCTGCTGCCCCACTATTAGATGGGTGGGACCATGTCTGTAGAAGTCAGCTTGGGCTGCCATACAAGATACTACAGGCTGGGCAGCTTACACACAGACAGCATGGAGGCTGGAAAGTCCAAGATCAAGGTGTCTGGTGAGGACTCTCTTCCTGGATGGCAGACATGTCCTTCTCACATGTCCTCACATGGTGGGGAGAGTGAGCTCTGGTGTCTGTTATTTTTATTAATACGACTGCACGCTAAGTCGCTTCAGTCATGTCTGACTCTTTGCCACTCCATGGACTGTAGCCTGCAGGGATCCTCTGTCCATGGGATTCTCCAGGCAAGAATACCCGAGTGGGTTGCCATGGCCTCCTCTAGGGGATTTTCCCTACCCAGGGATTGAACCCACATCTCTTATTCTAATGTATGGGCAGGCGGGTTCTTTACCACCACCTGGGAAGTTCATTAATGCTACTACTAATAATAAGAATCATAGGAGTCCTACTCTTGTTACCTCATCTGATCCTAATTACCTCCCAAAGACCCCACCTCCAAACACCATCACCCTGGGAGTTAAGACTTCAACGTATGAATGGGGTGGGTGGGGTGAGGTAGGGGGACAAACATTCAGTTTATAACAAAGCCCTGTGGGTGCTCGGCCTCTTTTCGAGGTCCCCCTGATCTGCTGTGCCCTACACCCTCCTGCAGTCAGGCCCAGCTCAGGTTTCATCACCTCCAGGAAGCTGCTGTGGACGCCTGGGCCTCCATGACCCACCTCTGGATGTCTGCAGCTCCCAATTACTGATTTGGCAAACTCTGCACATCCAGGGTTCACATACTGTTGAAGCCTAGCTTGAAGGATTTTGAGCATTACCTTGCTAGCTTGTGAAATGAGTGCAATTGTGTGATAGTTTGAGCATTCTTTGACACAGCCCTTCTTTGGGATTGGGATAGAAACTGATCTTTTCCAGTCCTATGGACACTGCTGAGTTTTCCAAATTTGATGGCATATTGACGGCACTTTAACAGCATCATCTTTTAGGATTTGAAATAACTCAACTGAAATTCCATCACCTCCACTAGTTTTGTTCATAGTAATGCTTCCTAAGCCATAGTTGGCTTCACACTCCAGGATGCCTGGCACATGCAGAGAGGCTACACAGAGACTGGTAATGCCTCCCGTTAGCAGTGACCTCCAGAAGGGCAGAGAAAACCGGCCTCTTAGGACCCTCGTATCACTCAGCAGCAATAGATGCACAGTCAGCAGACATGAATGATTTTAATGATTGCTCTGTCCTTCATCTTCATCATCCTGAACAAGCCTGACCTGATATTCCCCTTGGTGAGCTGTGCTCCCTCAACAGGACAGAATGAGGGACTGACTCATCTCCATGTTCTCTCTGCAGCCCAGCCGGCCCAAGTACAGACCCCCTCCACAAACCAACCTTCTGGCACCCAAGCTGCAGTTCCAGGTAAAGACATAACTAGAGGGCTGGGGAAGTGCAGGCCTCATCTCTGTCCTTCCTGAATTTCCATCCTTGTGCCTCAGCAGAGCAGCAGTCCTAGCTGCTCAGGCAATGGAGACAGTTCTTGAGTACCCAGAAAAGAACTCGAACTCAAAGTGCCCAGAGATCAAAAGAATCTCATTGAACCAAGTTGTCCTCAGTTAAGACGACTTCAACCCACATCTGTCTGTCCACAGTATTTGCTGCTGCGTGTGCCCACCTACAGCTAATTCTCTACTCCTGGCCTCCCCAACCCTGAGCAGAGCCTCTGAAAAGGAATCCAGGCAGCTGGGGACCGTTGACGTCCCCCAGAGAATGGGGCTGCTCGCTGGGGCTCCCTGCAGGGGCCCTGCTGAGAACCTCCGTAACTGGTGGAGAGAGAGCAGGGGGTTCCCCCTGTGCTCCCCGCCCCCACCTCCATGGTTACCAACCACAGGACCTGCCCACGCTGTCGGTCCCTCTCGGAATGTCTCCATCCTGTGTCTCTCTGTCGCATCTAAGTCAGAAGGAGCCAGGGCCTCCTCTCTTTTCTTCCTTTCTATCCCTCAGCTCAGAGTCCCTCTTTAAAAAATGCAAACAGTGTCTTTTATTTGGTGCTCCTTCATTTGGTGTCCTGTGGTCAAGGAAAAGCTCCAGAGCCAAAACAAGCCTAACCAGGAACAAACAGACAAACCTTCTTCATACAAAAAAAAAAAGAAAAAGAAAACAAACCTCAAGGCAGAAGACAGGAGCGATATCCCTAGAAAGAAACATACCCCTTTGTGATGTTTAAAATAATGGGGTTTTTTTCTTTTAAGATTTTTTTTAATATTTATTCATTTATTTGGCTGCACCAGGTCTTAGTTGCAGCATGTGGGATCTAGTTCCCTGACCAGGGATCGAACCCAGGCCCCCTGCATTGGGAGCTCAGAGTCCCAACCACTGGGCCAGCAGGGAAGTCCCTTAAGATTTTTTTTTTTTATGTGAACCATTTTAAAAGTCTTTGTCGAATTTGTTACAATATTGCTTCTGTTTTTATGTTTTGGTTTTTGGGCCATGAGGCATGTGGGATCTTAGCTCCCTGACCAGGGATTGAGCCCAAACCCCCTGCATTGGAAGGTGAAGTCTTAACCACGGGACTGCCTATGAAGTCCCAAAATAGTGGTTTTTAAAAATGTGTGTGTGTGTGTGTATATATATATATATAGACTTCCGTGATGACTCAGTGGTAAAGAATCTGCCTGCAATGCAGGAGATGTGTGTTTGACTCCTGGATCAGGAAGATCCCTGCAGGAGGAAATGGCAACCCACTCCAGTATTCTTGTTTGGGAAATCCCAAGGATAGAGGAGCCTGGTGGGCTACAGTCCATGGGGGTTACAAAAGAGTTAGACATGACTTAGTAACTAAACAACAACATATGTATATACATGCATATGTTTGTCTGTTTTAGTTGCTCAGCCATGTCCAGCTCTTTTGCATTCTGATGGACTGTAGCCTGCCAGGCTCCTCTGTCCTTGGGATTTCCCAGGCAAGAATACTGGAGTGAGTTGCCATTTCCTTCTCCAGGGGATCTTCCCAACCCCAGGATCGAACCCATGTCTGCTGCATTGTAGGCAAATTCTTTACCACTGAGCCATCAGGGAAGCCTATACACACACACACTTGTGGATCAGCAGTATCTGTTAGTTTCTGACATGATGATGACTCTTCCCTGAAGAGTCCTGAAGGAGGAGATGTAGTCATGGGTCAGTGCCACAGGTGGACCCACGGTATGCACAGCATCACGGGGAGGGCTGTTAGATGAAAGAGCAGCCACCACGTCTGTGCTGACTTCTAGCCAAGAGCCCCGTATGTCGCTCTGCCACGTCTCCCAAACACGACCAGTGGAATGCCCACACTTTGTTCTTTGTAAGCTCCTGGAGCGCAAGTCCCGTTTCTCTCATGGAGCTCTTGTATCGTTTGTCTGTGCTCGTGTTCGTAGCAGCTAACCGTCCACCTTCTCGCCTTGTCCCCGTGCCTGTGCTCCTCTGCTTCTCCTGAATAGGTCCCCGAGGGTCTGTGTGCCAGCTCACCCACGCTCACCAGCCCTATGGAGTATCCATCTCCCGTAAACTCGCTGCACACCCCACCTCTCCACCGGCACAATGTCTTCAAGCGCCACAGCATGCGGGTAAGAGGACTCTGCATGCTGGGTCCTGGCCAGGACACGGAGGCTGCTGGAGGGAGGTGCCTGGGATACTGGGAGCCCTGCGTCCTCAGGCTCAGGAGGTGCCCTTCCTGCACCAGTCGGCCAGAGAGGGACTCTGTGCCTCCTGCAAGCAGCAGAGTTTGGGGGCCAAGCCAGGCACTGCCCTTGAGACTCCAGCTGGACCCAGACCTGCCCCATGCCTACTCTGATGCTGTGGCAAAGATGTAAAACTACCCCCTTCCCTCAGCCCTGGCGATAGTGTGAAAGCTCATGAGCGGAGGGCAGGGAAGCCTGACGGTGCCAGAAAGTAAAAGACCTTGGAGGCCTTGCCCGCTCTGCCCTTCCTGCTGCCTGATTGTTGTGATTGTTCCATTCTCCTCGGTCAAAGGAAAGTCTGCCTTGTGGTTGCCACTCCTGCTGCTTTGCAAAAGTTGCTGCGATATGAGAACAAACTTGGGGGGCTAGCATAGGGCTGAGCCACACCCTCCTGGTCACTCTTTGTCGTCAACTACGGATGAAGCCTTGAGTATTTCATTGTCCGTCGCTCAGTCACTCACTCATGTCTCACTCTTTGCAACCACATGGACTGTAGCCGTCCAGGCTCCTCTGTCCATGGGATTTTTTTCCCCTAGAATACTGGAGTAGGTTGCCATTTCCTCCTCCAGAGGATCTTCCCGACCCAGGGATCGAACCTGAGTCTCCTGCATTGGCAGGTGGATTCTTTACCACTGCACTACCTGGGAACTAGCTTGTAATCGTCAGGTCTCCTTTTTTAAAAAAAGTGCACCTTTGCTTGTCCACTTGTTACTTGTCACCATCCATCTTCTCCTCCTTCAATACAAATGGCCCCCGTGGTCAGTTGCCATGAGCATTTGATATAGTTTACTGAACTGAGTCTTGATATGTGATATAACGGACTAAAACCCTTATTACTTTAGCTCTATCTCTGTATCCATGCATCATATTTAAGACTCAGGTATATAGGACTCTAAAAATTGGGGGAGACTACATTTCTATTACAACAGATTTACAAAAATGTAGGAAAGTATGTTGAGATATCCTTGCTGTTTTTAATTTAGTAAAGCTTTGAAATGATTAAGATAACTTAGAATTCAAGGCAGTGAGAGCTTAGTAGAATAAGTTTTCCCCTGACCTAGCTCATTTTTCTTTTTCACCTTAGTTTAACCAATTTATGTCTTAGCATATACTCAATGATAATAAAACTGCATCTGTAAGCATTCACTATCTTTTAGGCAGTGCTTAACTTTTCTTTCCTGCCCTTAACTCTTTATTCATAATTAATTGGGTTTTAATTAAGTGAGTTTGGCTTTAAATGTGCCCTTTCAGAAAGAAGGTGTTTCGCACATTTGAGGGTTGGCACTGCCTTTGTCTAACCCCTGATTCACCATAAGGACTTTGTTCCCTTCCATAAAGACAAACTGTGAGGCAGGAAAAAGGGCCTTTTGTGTCAGGGCTTTAGATGTACTTGCCACAGGAAAGCCTGCCTGAGAGAACATAATAAGCATTTCTTAAAATAAGCAAAAAAGAAAAAAGTTAAAAATATAAACTCCATTTTATGGTATGCATCAGAAACACTGAGAAAGCCTCTTCCAGGTAGAATGCTGAAAAGGTATAATAGACTCCCTGCAAAGCATTTGAAAGCATTTAACGAAAGTCAGAGATGGTTTTCCCACAAAAACAACTTTTCTAGTGACTAACTCTATTGCCTGACTCATCTGAGAATCTGTGGGATTCAATTCCAGAGTCAGGAAGGCAGCAGTCTCCCTCTTGAAGACCTCACAATTGAGGTTTAAAATAACAGTTCAGTAAACAGCACCTTTTTTTTTAAGGGACACTTTGCTGGGCGCTGTCCTAGGTGCTGAAGGGAGAAGGAACAGGGCAGATGGTTGCCTATAATGTAAACCAGAGAGCTGTGAGTAGCACACAGAGGCACAGCCAAAGTGCAGAAGAAGTTCAGAGAGTAAAACAACTCTTTCCAGCTGCTTTTTTTTTTTTTTTTTTGCTGNTAGCTTTTTTTTTTTTTTTTTTTTGCAGTTGGGCCTCAGTGGGAGGGAAAAATTAGAAGGATCCCAGGGGATGAGGAAGGCAGAAGCATGAGTTGGAGCCCAGATTGAATGATGGGAAACCTTAGGATGAGTGCAGGAGTTGTTTAGTTACAATGGAAATAGGCCTGGCAGGATGAAGAGTCAATTCCTAGAAAGGGTCACAGCTTATCAGAGTCTTTTTAAAACACCCCAAGGGTCGAATTCCTCTTAAAAATGACCTGCAGTGTAAGCATTCATCGCCTGATTAAGAATTCTTGAAGTATACTTTGGACAGTAAGCCCTAAAGAGATCCAATTTTTTTTAAAAAATCTCATTTGCTTCTTGAGTTTTATTAGAAAATTGGAAGACATAAGAATACATCCACTAATACATGTTAAAATATTTGGTCAGATGGTGATCAAGCCTGGGGCATACTAGACATTTGAGTGGTAGGAATCTTCTTTGGCAATTTCAAAACTGCGAAGTGTTTTCTTGAGTCTGGAAACTCCTCCTGTCAGTATCTTCTCTAGTCTTCCACCGTCCATACATTTTCCTTACCTGGAGATTCCTAATGCTATATTCAGAACATTGGACCCTTAGTTCCTATTTGTCATGATTCGTCAATAGCCTGATATAGAGATACCATTGTGTTTGCACATGCTGGCATTTAACTGAGGATATTTACAGCCTTAAAATCCTTTCATCTGGGGGGCATAAGCCTTTACGAAGTAAATCTTATGTATTTTATCAATCCTATGATGATAAAATAGTCTCGTGTTCTGAAATTTGCTTTTATTTTTTAATTGGGATAGGTATAGTTGCTTTACAATGTTGTACAAATGAGGTAAATCAGCTATGGTATACATATATCCCCTCCTTCGGCCCTCCCCACCCCATCCCACCCCTCTCGGTCATCACAGAGCGCTGAGCTAGGCTGCCTGTACTGCATAGCAGCTTCCCACTAGTTATGTGTTTCTCACATGCAGCGCACATACGTCAGTCCTCACCTCCCAACTCATCCCACCCTCCTCCCCACACCATGTCCACAGATCAGTTTAAAATAAGGTCTAACTCAGTAAGTCAGCTCTGGGTGGACATTTGGTAATGTGTGGAGGCATTTTTGTTACAACAGGGGAGGTGCTAGAGGCTTCTAGTGAGTCGGGTTGCTGTAAGCATCCTACAGGTTACAGGAAATCTCTCCCCAATAAGGAATTATCTGGCCCCAATGCTAAGGTTGAGAAACCCCAGTCTGCAATTGGTTCCATAGCCTCATGAAAACAGGAAGGACGCTACGTCTTTAACCATCACTGCCCTCCCAGCACCCAGCCCTGTCCCTGCCACATAGCAGTTGCTCAATAAACAGTCGTTGACTGGCGTAATGAACAAGGGCTATTTCAGCAAGGCATCTTATGAGGAGGAGTATTGTTAGAAATTGAGAGCAGTTATTGTAGCTGACAGCCTAGGAAAAACACACCAGTGTCACTATTTTCAAACTGTGCTGTTTAGAGACTTTAGTGGGGATAATCTTTTTTAGAGGCTTGGCAGAGACTATGGCTTGTTAAAGTAGACTGAGAATCATTTTTAGCATTTATGTAAGTGACTTGTATGTAAACGGGCCAGTTCAAAGAAAGGGATCTGAGCAACTTGCGGACCTCAACATCATAGAAAGGTCACCTGCCCCCAGCAAAAGTCATCCCAGGCTTTACACAATCAAAAGAATGTTGGTAACACTTGTATATCCAGGAGACCCAGGTAATCTTGTGCAGCAGAAAAAAGGAAGCCAGTTTAAAGGGACTGAGCAGATATTTATATAAATGAACCCTGGGGAAGATTGAGGGAAGACAAATAATAGGAAAGGGGAACATGCCGGGAGAAATAACAGGGAGAACTATGAATAGGTCCAAAGCTCCACAAATGAGTTGAAATGGGGTTAGATTACTAAAACTCAGGAGAGGAACCACTTATTGCATATCCATACATCCTTATTTCTTTTAAATTTTGTGCTTCACTTTATCTCTTAGCTCATGCATCTCTTTTAACTTTTGGTGACATAACCCAGGCTAGTTTCTTAATCAAGAGAATGATGCAGAAAGATTCTTTACTTTCTGAGCCACAGAAAGTGAAAGTGAAGTTGCTCAGTCGTGTCCGACTCTGTGACCCCATGGACTGTAGCCTACCAGGCTCCTCCATCCATGGAATTTTCCAGGCAAGACTACTGGAGTAGGTTGCCATTTCCTTCTCCAGAAGATCGTCCCGACCCAGGGATTGAACCCGGTTCCCCCGCATTGCAGGCAGATGCTTTCCTGTCTGAGCCACCCATAACTAGGATGGGGAAGCCCAAATAACGAATATCTTCTGATAAAAAAGGCGATCAGATGGGTGCACACTCTTTCTCCTTCTCTCAGGCTCCACCCTTCAGTGGACAGCTTTGGGGGACCACACACCACTGCTCCTTGAAGCTTCCAGACCTGCCATCTCTGTTTTAGGCGACGCTAAGCACTCAAGGCCTCCCAGAGGGCTGGCTTTACAATCCTAAGTGTAAATTCAGTGACAGCAGCCATGACACATGCCAACTGAGAAAATGATATTAGGACAGTCACTTGAAAATAAGATGGCACTAAGGGATCACATGATGATTTGAAACCAGTGCCTGTTAAACTCTATGCCCTGGGATTCAGCACTTCACGAACACACTGCATGTGATTGGGGTTGATGGAGCCAACAGTAATAACCATCTGCATAGATGGCTGCAGATCTGAGACCAGTTAGGCCAAGGCGTGTGGCTCCCACAAGGCTCTCCAGAGGACTGTCCTCCCTGGGTGCGGAGACTGGGCTGACTGTGTCCTCTGCCATCTCCCCCGCTGTGCTCCCAGGAGGAGGACTTCGTCCGCCCCAGCAGCCGGGAGGAGGCCCAGCAGCTGTGGGAGGCCGAGAGGCTCAAGATGCGGCAACTCCTGGACAAGCAGCAGAAGCAGATGGTGGAAGATTACCAGTGGCTGAGGCAGGAGGAGAAAGCCCTGGTGAGGAGAAAGCCCAGCCAGGGGAGGGAGAGGACATGCCCCGACACCTCTGCTGGACACCTTCTTTTTTTAAATAATTTTACTTATTTTTTCATTTTTGGCTGTGCTGGGTCTTCGTTTCTGCACGCCGGCTTTTCTCTAGTTGTAGCAAGCTACTCTACATTTGCGATGCCCTATCTTCTCGTGGCAGTGGCTTCTCTTGTTGCAGAGCACAGGCTTTTGGGAGCTTGGGCTTCAGTAGTTGCGGCTCACAGGCTCTAGAGCACAAGCTCAGTAGTTGTGGTGCATGGGCTTAGTCGCTCCGCAGTATGTGGAATCCTCCAAGACCAGGCATCAAACTGGTCTCTCCAGCATTGGCAGGTGGACACTCTACCGCTGAGCCACCCGGAAAGCCCCTGAACACGTTCTGATAACCATGCTCCCCGCGGAGAGATCCATGCCATCTTGTCCCCTTTCGCTCCCCACCTGGCTGGAGTGACCTGCTCTCCAGGCATCCTTGGAGTTTTTGGTTACAGAATCCTAAGTCCTCTTGATTTGTTTTCCCCCTCTGCAGGACCCCATGGTTTACATGAACGACAAGTCCCCGCTGGTGAGTCACCGGGAGGCCACTCTATCCGGAGGGAGGGCTTATAGGGTAGTTAGTGGGACCTCCGACTCCACACCTGCCCAGCTCGCCCTCTCTGCCTCTCACCACGAGAGCACCTTTTTCCACTTCACTCTGATCTTGGAGTCTCCTTGCTGAGATCACACTTGATCTGCACTCTTGATCTAACTTGATCACACTTGATCTAACGCCGCCCCGCTCCGGCACAGGAGCCCCCCACCCCAGTCACTTCCGGTCAGGGAGTCCCCAGGACCCCTGCAGCTGTATGACCTCCAAACCTCTGGGGGACGGGAACAAGCTAAGGGGGGACGTGGGTGGCCCCCAGGGCTGCACCAGTGACCTCTTCTCTTTCCTTCCTTCCAGACCCCAGAGAAGGAGGCCGGCTACAGTAAGTGTGAGCACCCTTCCTCTCGGCGGGAACGTCCCCGGGCGTGGCATCTTGTGTGCAGCCGCCTTCCCTGCCCCTTGCAGAGAGCAAAGGGAGTGTATTTGCCATAGAATCATCTGTCCTGAGTTCAGAGTGTGCAGAGAGGCCCAGTTTGGGAGTCGATATACACCACCTCCTATCCTCCACCTCCACCCCTGCTCCGGCGGCTGCCCCCCACCCCTCTCGCGGCATGGCTCCTGTCCCCGCCTCTCTGCTGCTGCATTTATTTGGAGGACTTGGTGATCCTTCCTGTCTCCCACCCACTCTGTCAGAAGCTCTAAAGCAGCGCCATGACATCGCTCCCAAGTGCCTCTTCTCCTCCCTAGGCCCCAGGAAGGGAAGAAAGAAACAGGGCGGGGCCATCTGAACGGAAGCAAGAAGAGGGCGGGGCCAACTGACTTTCCCACCCACCCCTGCGCGACCCCAGAGTCTTTCCTGGAGCCTCCTTGAAAGGCAGGGAGGGAGTGGTACCCGCTGGGATCGATGGCCTTTCCCAATTAACAGAAACTGACTAGAGGCCTGACAGGAAATTCAGGCAAACTTTGTGGGGGCTCCTGCGCCGCAGGCTGCAGGAGGAAGTGAAAACAACAGGTTCCCTTGCTTGCTCCCAGAGGCAGCGGGGAGGTCATTCCTTACATGGGGTGAGGATAGGGGTGGATCCAGGGATCGTCCAGGAGGGGCGGCTTAGGTGGTTTGCCCGCCCCTCTGTGATGGTGCGTGCAGTGGGGCATGCAGCAGTACCCTGCTTTTGCTCCCAACACCCAGGTTTTTGCTCCTGGCTCTTCAGAAATGGTTCTTGGGTGTTATTTGGGGTTACTTTTTTGTCTTTTTTGTATCTTTCGGTCCAGAATTCGCCCCAACTGCGGCATGCACACAGCTATTTTTAGTCCCATATTGTTTCTTTGTATTGTCCTGGTGCAGACTTTGCTGCAAAGGTTCCCAGGTCCCAGTCCTGCAGTGAGCCAGGCTCTTCATCACCATCCTAGGGGGATGGGGCTGATGATGATGGTGATGGTGACCATGGCAGCCACCAAAGACAATGACAAGCGCTGGCCCAAGTTGCTTTAAAATGTCAGTTTAAACCCGACAGCAGTCCTTCCTATGCAATAGGTACAATGTATCACGATGCCCATTTTACAAAGGACATGAAACATACGCAGGAAGGGCAAGTGACTCTCCCAAAGTCACACAGCTAGTGATTAGCAGGGCCCAGATTTGAGCCCAGGCATCTGGCTCCTGCAGGGCCCTTCTACGTGAATGCTCCTACTTGACAGATGACACTTAAGGCCGGGGGCCTGTCAGTGAGCTGCCCTAGTCTCACCCCACTCTGGGGGAAGAGTGGAAAGTGGAATCAGGTCTTCTGACTGCTACTCCAAGCAGTCCCACACGGCCTGTGTGTCTCTGTTCATTGGAGTGTCCAGAGAACAGCATGCTTCTAGCAGTTCACTTCCTTGACCCCCAGATGGACAAAGCAGACAATAGGGAAGCTTCACAAATCTACCACATCAGTGGCTGTTGCACCCGCTGGGTGAGGCTCCAGGGTCACCTGCTGCCTTCAGAGCAGGTTTCTCTCTCATGACAGTCAAGGTCAGCGTCTCAGGGCCCGGTGTGCTGGAACACCCACTGCCATCACTCCATCCCCACCGGGACTTTGGCTTTTTCTGTCTTTGAAATGGACTGTAGTGCCTGTCCCTGCGTATAGAAGACCAGGGAGACGAGAGGTTACTTTCCATTGTCCTGGGTTTCGGGTCCTGTTTCCCTGGGGTCTCCTGGTAGTAGTGGAGAAGAGCTGGGCTTGGTCATCAGCACCTATGAAGGGAGGGGTCAGGGTGCTGAGGACATCCCTACTCACTGTCCCTTCCCTTTGCAGCGGAGTTCACAGCCCCCCCACAGAAACCGCCACGGCTCGGCGCACAGGTATGTGCTGGCTCTGCTGAAGCTGGTAGTGGATTGGAATCAGGGCCCCACAAGACTGAAGGCCTGGACTGCAAAGACTGCAGAGGCGCACAGAAGGAATCCAGTCCTGTATCCTCATTATTTAGCTGAGGCCCAGAGAGGGCAAGTCTAAAGCCACACAACTAATTCATTTAAAAAATAAAAAGCAAGGGGAAGACCAGCCCCCTCCCTGACCTGGAGGAAAGCTCTCCTGTCCCAAGGAGCAGGAGGTGTGGACCCCCACTGGCTCCCTGCACCCCCGTGTTCTGGGGCATCTGCTGCTTTCTTCACTCTGGAGCAGCAGTTCTCAGCCTTGGCAGCCCATGAGAATCCTCTGAGAGCTTTGACACCGCCTGACCCCCACGCCCAGCTGATGGTTCAGTTGCTTTGCTGTGAGGCTGGCCACCAGAACTTTTTTAAGACACCCAGGCAGACTCTCACATAAGAACCATTGCCCCAGAAGCAGAAGGGAAGGTGGCCCCCCCAGGACCAGGCACTATTATTTCAGAGAGACGTCTTGGTGGCTGAGTTGGCACCACTAGTGCATGCCCAGGAAAGAATGGTGTGTCCCTCTGACTCATCACCCTCCCCTCTGGCCACCTGCTTCTCCTCCTCCTCTCCCCGCCACAGTCCATCCAGCCCACAGCCAACCTGGATCGGACCGACGACCTGGTGTACCTCAACGTCATGGAGCTGGTGCGGGCCGTGCTGGATCTCAAGAATGAGCTCTGCCAGCTGCCTCCCGAGGGCTACGTGGTGGTAGTGAAGGTGAGAACCAGGGAGGAGCCGTGGACCTGGGGGACGGAGGCCACTCAGCCCATCCCTGGAAGGATGTGGGAGGGGCTGAGCTTCCCAGTCTGCCCTATTAGACCCCATTAGAGCAAGGTTGTCAAAGAGAAGTTAGTCCCAGGTAGCCTCGGAAGGCAGACACCATCCCAGGAGGGCTCTTCTCAAGGGAGACATGGCATTCTCAAAAAGCAAAGGGTGGGACTTCCCTGGCGGTCCAGTGGCTGAGACTTCACCTTCCAGTCCAGGGAATGCAGGTTCAATCCCTGGTCGGGGAGCTAAGATTCCCATATGCCTTGGGGCCAAAAACGCCAAAACATAAAACAGAAGTAATATTGTAACAAATTCAATAAAGACTTCAAAAGGAAAAAGCAAAGGGTGACGGCCACGCGCCCCTCTCTCTCCCAGAACGTGGGCTTGACCCTGCGGAAGCTCATCGGCAGTGTGGATGACCTCCTGCCTTCCTTGCCGTCGTCCTCACGGACGGAGGTGAGTGTCTCGTCCCGTCGGTGTCATCCACTGTCCCTTGCCCCCTTCTCCTGCTCCAGCTGTGTTTCAACAGGAGACCCGGAAGGGCCGCCTGGGCAGTCCCATCTCTGCGGGCCTTCAGCAGGTGGCTCTGCACTGCATATCTCTGCAGGTACCACTAGGGGGCGGAGTTGGAACCCAGGGGCCTCGCCGGCTTTCCGGGGCGAATTTCCTAGTTTAGGTCTCAGATGATTGGCAGTGACTTCTTAGTGCCTGAGGACAGGCAAAGGAGGACACACACCCTCCTTTTTAGCCCCATCCTGTCCATGATTCTTTGTCTAGTGACCCTTCTTATTAAGGTCAAGGTGTGTCACAGAAATAGCAGTTAAGGTTTCTTCAATTGATCATTTAATCTAATTTTCTTTATTTAAATGAGAAGCAACCACCGAAAACCAAAACAGGAGTGCCAGTGCTCTATCCTGAGATGGTGCCAGTGGTAGGCAGAATAACGCGCCCCCACAAGATAGCTGGAAAAGACCCTGATTCCGGGAAAGATTGAAGGCAAAAGGAGAAGAGGACAGCAGAGGATGAGATGGTTAGATACCATCAGTGACTCAACGCACATGAGTTTGAGCTAATTCCAGGAGATAGTAGAAGACAGGGGAGGCTGGCATGCTGCAGTCCGTGGGGTCACAAAGAATCAGACATGACTTAGCAACTGAACAACAACCAAAAAAAGGATGCCTGCGTCCTCAGAGCCTGTGTCTATGTGACCTTACATGACAGACAGGACTTTGCAGGTGATTAAATTAAGGATCTTCAGATGAGAAAGTTACGCTGGATTATCCAAGTGGGTCCAGTGTAGTCACAAGGGTTCTTGTAAGAAGGAGGAGAAGCAGAGGTCTCATAAGAGTCAGAGAAGGAGATGGGATAACAGAAGCAGAGGTCGGAATGAGGCCATTGCTGGAAGGATCCACAAGCCGAGGAAGCTGGAAAAGGCAGGGAACAAAATTCTCCCCTGGAGCTGGCAGAAGAAACTTAGCTCCGCCGTCACCTGGACGTTGGCCCCAAGGGACCCATTCCAGATTTGTGACCCCCAGAACTGTAAGAGCATAAATCTGCCTTATTTCAAGCCACAGTGTTTGTGGTAACTTGTTACCACGAGACTGGAAACAGAGGAAGTGCCTCTGAGCATTTGTTGGTTTTCTGTCTGGAAACTCAGTCACATACTGCCACACCCTCTGCCAGGCTTCCTAGTGGTCAGCAGTGTGACACAGGGCTGACCCACTGTGTCCCGCCACTGTCCCCACCATCTGTGACCATTCAAGAGAGGCAGGACAGGGCAAGGGGCGTGGGCACTTCCCAGACCCCTTCGGGGTGGCTGTGGCAGTCCAGCGGAGCCCCCTCCAGGTTGGTCCCGCCGGGCATGAGAGCGCCACACCTGGGCAGTGAAGGCCGGGCTCTTCTTTCACTTGATAAATATCTCTTGAGCGCCAAGTCTTTGCTCAGCCATGCATTAGATCCCAGGATATAGTGGTTAATAAAACCCTAGAGCCCAGACCGCAGTCCGCAATCTATTGATGTGATTGTAGAGAGTGAACAGATGCGTGGAAGCACTTGACTCCTCAGCATTCACTGTGTGTCGGGCCAGCACCCAGGCATGTTGCCAGGGAGGGAGTGTTTGTGGGGCTGGATTGAAGGGGGCTGACTTGGGTAGGTTGGGACCTGGAGTGCCTGCAGTGTTTGACCTGGACGGCCTGGCTCCAACCCAGCCCAGGGCTGGGTCAGCCCCGCCCCCAGCCGCTCCGCCGGCCCCACCTTCCTGGGCCAGCACCAAGGTGGACCTCTGTGGGGCTTCCGTGCCCTCCGGGCCTGGACTTGGCAGCCCCTCGGGGTCCCAGCCCCTCCCGTGTGCTCTTCCTGCAGATCGAGGGGACCCAGAAACTGCTCAACAAGGACCTGGCAGAGCTCATCAATAAGATGCGACTGGCCCAGCAGAATGCCGTGACTTCCCTGAGTGAGGAGTGCAAGCGGCAGATGCTCACCGCCTCCCACACGCTGGCCGTGGACGCCAAGAACCTGCTGGACGCCGTGGACCAAGCCAAGGTCCTGGCCAACCTGGCCCGCCCGCTGGCAGAGTGAAGAGGGCGGCGCCCCCCGCCCGCGTCTCCGCCCCGCCCGCCCGTTCCTCCCGGCCCCTGCCTCGCCTTCGGTCCGTGGGCCCACTTGGGGAGGGAAGGCCGAGGGGGGTCCTTCTTCCCTTGCCGTTTTGCACGTCGCCTCTCCCCACCCTACTCCCAGACTGTGCTGCCCAGGCCGCAGCTGGACAGAGGGGACTCAGGGCCGCAGGATACCGGGGGGTGACAGAGAGGCTCAGACGGAGCGCGGCTGCTGCCCGCCGGCAACTCCTGCCTGGCCCAAGGAGGTCACGCGGCAGATCCTTGTGGCCCCGATGGCTTTACGCAGGGACAGGGCAGGCCGATTGGGGAACCAAGCTAGTCCTTCTCCCTCCTCTGCCCACGGAGGTCCCCTCCCCTAGCCCCGTGCACAGAGGGAGGCGCCGAGAGGGGTTTTCAGTGGGGAGGCCGGCGGCTGGTGCCGTGAGGCATGGACCTGGCCTTCTTGTACAGTGTATATTGGAATTTATTTAATGTGAGTCCGGTCTGGACCGACAGCCGTGGGCCCCAGTGAGAGGCGGAGCGGGGCCTGGGATGGTCAAGGGACAAGCTATTGGGAGTTGGCGCCCAGGAGGCTGTGTCCTCCTCACGCAGAGAGGGGAGGAGGGGAAAAACAAGGCCAAACTGGACCTGGACGCCTTCGCATTCCTCACCCCCTTGCTTTTCTTCCCTCCCTGGCCCCTTCCTTCTCTTCTTTCTTACTGTCTTTTCTTACTTATCTTTGCTCTCCCTTTCTCTCATCCACGCCCTCTCTCCCTCCCTCTCTTGTGTATGTGCAGAACACTCTTTTACCTCCTTTATATTTGACTTGTGGATGAAATAAAATTGTACCATTTGCTTTGTGGTTTGCTTATTTTGTTTGTTTGAACTTCTGAGGCCCTGGAAGGATGACAGAGAGGCTCAGACGGAGCGCGGCTGCTGCCCGCCGGCAACTCCTGCCTGGCCCAAGGGGGTCACGCGGCAGATCCTTGTGGCCCCGATGGCTTTACGCAGGGACAGGGCAGGCCGACTGGGGAACCAAGCTAGTCCTTCTCCCTCCTCTGCCCACGGAGGTCCCCTCCCCTAGCCCCGTGCACAGAGGGAGGCGCCGAGAGGGGTTTTCAGTGGGGAGGCCGGCGGCTGGTGCCGTGAGGCATGGACCTGGCCTTCTTGTACAGTGTATATTGGAATTTATTTAATGTGAGTCCGGTCTGGACCGACAGCCGTGGGCCCCAGTGAGAGGCGGAGCGGGGCCTGGGATGGTCAAGGGACAAGCTATTGGGAGTTGGCGCCCAGGAGGCTGTGTCCTCCTCACGCAGAGAGGGGAGGAGGGGAAAAACAAGGCCAAACTGGACCTGGACGCCTTCGCATTCCTCACCCCCTTGCTTTTCTTCCCTCCCTGGCCCCTCCCTTCTCTTTTCTTTCTTACTGTCTTTTCTTACTTATCTTTGCTCTCCCTTTCTCTCATCCACGCCCTCTCTCCCTCCCTCTCTTGTGTATGTGCAGAACACTCTTTTACCTCCTTTATATTTGACTTGTGGATGAAATAAAATTGTACCATTTGCTTTGTGGTTTGCTTATTTTGTTTGTTTGAACTTCTGAGGCCCTGGAAGGAGTCGATTGTGGTTCTGTTGGGCAGAGATCGAAAAGCCAAACGAAGCCAGGGCTCAACCCCCAGGGTACATGGTAAAGCCAGGGTGCTGGGGTTGGGTACCCGCGTGCTCCAGCCCTTCGCCCCGGGTGCCTGACCCGAGGGCGGCTTTCCAGGGGGGACCCAGACAGCCCTTCCGCTGCCACAAAGAAAAGCCAGTGCATCCTCCCAGCTGCCATCCACAGAACCAGGGTTCTGGGGGGCTGGAGGGGGTCACAGCTGCCTGAGCAGTGACGGCGGCTTTACTTGCTCTCTTTCCTCATTTGCGAGTTGGTTGGGAGACGGAATAACCCGAGGGAACATCTCTACACCGGGAGGTCAAGGCTGGGAGCACCCCTGCTTCTGGAGAAGTAGGAGGAGTGGTAGGGGGGTGGGGCTGCGTCCACAGAGCAGGAGGGGTCAGAAATAAGAATGATGCCGGGGCGGGGGGGTCTTGGAAAGAACTGAGGCAGGTGGACTGGGCCTGGGGTGGCCAGTTTTCCCTGGAGTGTCAGAGAGAGCACGTGGGGGTGTGGAAGGGGTGGGCACCTGAGCTCCCTGCCCCCTGAGGCACCCTCTGCCCACACACCCCTCCTTTGATGTCTGAGCCGCCTCACATGGCCCCACCCCACCCCCTGGGTCCCCCATCTTGGCCCTCCCATCCCTCTTGCATCCTAGGAGCATCTTATCACCACGTCACCATCCTCACATCGTCCTCGCTACATGGAAACCCTCTGCAAAGCAAGTTCCTCCTCGCCCAGCTCCTAAAACCCAAACAGGGCTCTGTACCCAGCAGATTCTCAGCACATAGTATAAAAATGTCAAGCGAAGCATTCTAAGCAGACTTCCACGTTGGGACTCCATGGAGAGACACCTGCAGTCGGATGGCACTGACCCCGAAGGCGAACTCCAGAGGTGGCAGCAGGGAATGACAGTCAGCCATGCCACCTCCGGGCCAGAGCAGGCGATGTGACATCAGATCATTCCAGCCAGGAAGGGAGGGAGGAAGAGTCCGACGGTCCCCAGGAAGCAAACGAGGATAAACAACCAGAGGAATATCCTATCAATGACCATGGCCACGTACCTCCAGTCTTCCTTCACCTGCAGGGGGAGATGGGTGCACAGTGAAAGGGGAGGTGACCCATCCACTCGCAGCCCCTAAGAGGATGNGATGGGGTGGAGGGGAGCCCACTTGGCCCAGCCAAGCTCCTCAGGGTTTGTGGGTGAATAGTAAAGTTGACAAAGTGCCCAGAGCCCAGGACACAGACGGGGAAGGGGAGCCCAGCAGGACAAAGGAGCAGGCCGGTTTGGGAGGACCTCCTGATGAACTCCCTCCGCCCGCCTCCGCTCACCTCCGTCCTCCCACCTATGGGCACTGGTGGGACATGGCTGGCATGAGGATGGCGTGGAGGACCCCTCCTCCTCTGTCCTGCTACCTCCCAGTTAAGCTGAGCTGGGACAGCTGTTATTGCTATTCTGCCAATAACTGTCATAAGAGCTGCCAGCCAGCTGTTCTCCTTCACAATGTATTCCAGATTCCAAGGCCATGCCTAAGGGAGATGGCCCTTATGGAGGAGACTGGGTTGGTGCAAGCCAACACCTTCGGGGGAGGGGGAGTGGTTCCATTCTAGGCTGGTAGAGTCACCCAGGGGAGGGACCCTCCCCCAGCCCCCACTCACCGAGGAATCAGCATCCTCAGCCCGCAGGTGGTCAGCAATATAGTGCACACCCTCTAGGGCCTTCTGTACCCGAGGGGACAGCAGGAGCCCGCCGTCCGGCACCTGGGCCTCTGCCTTGGGACCCGAGGCCCCTGGGTGCAGACTCCCATGGGTGTAGACACCCACGGAGGGGGACAAAGGGCCCGCACACGCCCATCTGCCTTCCTCCTCCTCCTCCTCTCTCTCCTCCACATCCACGTTGGTCTCCAGCCAGCGATAGGAGGGGCAGAGCTTCAGATCCGGAGGGTCTCGGAGCTCCAAGGGTGGCAATGGCCGGCTTATGAGAAGCCAGCGGGACACACAGCCCAGAAAGGCCACCCGCACCCAGTGGGGCATGTTGTGGGTGCTGGCGGAGCGGTGGTGGACGTTGAGCACGAAGACGGTGATGACGATGGACAGGGTGACGAAGATCATGGTGAAGAGCAGGTACTCGCTGATGAGTGGGATGACCAGCGAGGTGGAGGGGATGATCTCGGTGATCAGCAGCAGGAAGACGGTGAGCGAGAGCAGCACAGAGATGCACAGCGTGATCTTCTCCCCGCAGTCGGAGGGCAGGTAGAAAACCAGCACGGTGAGGCAGGAGATGAGCAGGCAGGGGATGATGAGGTTGATGGTGTAGAACAGTGGTAGGCGCCGGATGACGAAGTAGTAGGTGACGTCGGCGTAGACCTCGGCGCAGCAGTCGTACTTCTTGGTGTTGTAGGTGCCCGTGGCGTTGACGATGGCCCACTCGCCACTCTCCCAGTAGTCCTTCACGTCCACCGTCTGCTCCATCTGCACCAGGTCGATCTTGGCCTTGTCGTAGGACCAGGAGCCAAACTTCATCTTGCAGTTCTGCTGGTCGAAGGGGAAGAAGGTGACGTCGATGCTGCAGGAGCTCTTGTAGATGGCGGGCGGTACCCAGTGCACCATGCCCGAGGAGAAGAGGTGGGCCTTGGTCATGTGGGTCACCACGAACTCCCCATCTGCACTGAGGAGAGGAGAGGCATTGGGGGGCGCCTGGGGAATCCCAGAGGCCCAACCCAGGCTACTGCAGATAACTACCAGCAGGGGGACCCCAATAACACAGCCAGACCACGCTGGGCTGTTGGGACTTGAACAAGCAAGACTTCAGAACACAGGCAGCTAGAGCTACCTGAGTTGTCTTTCAGACACCACCTTCTTCACTACAAAAGTAGGAATTTTGAAGAATCTAGGAAAGTACCAAGAATTTTTAAAATAATCACTGTTGTTGATGATATATGTATACATATACATATATATATCACATATATTTGATCATCATCTAGACAACACATATAGAATTTTTATATATTTGTGATCATAGGGTATATACATAGTTTGATGGCCTGTTTGTATTCATTTAACATTTTAGGGTAATTGTGCTGCGACCCCATGGACTGGAGCCACCCAAGCTCCTCTATCCATGGGACTTCCCGGGAGATACTGGAGTGGGCTGCCATTTCCTTCTCCAGGGGACTCAGGGATTGAACCCATTTCCTGTGTCTCCTGCATTGGCAGACAGATTCTTTGCCACTGAGCTGCCCTGCTTGTTTTATATTATACCCCCCACCATCTGCCACAGGTGGCAATGAAGCCCCTCTGCTGGGGGTCTTGTCTTTTCTACCCAGGACTTTAGTTTCTTCCTCAGCAGAGACTTGATAATTTTGCTGGTGAAGGAGGAATCCATCCAGTCAACAGGCACATTTGAGTCAGCTGCCCCTACCAAGGCGGCTATGGGGGCTGTTGGGGGGGATGGGATGGGAGACTCGAGCCTACCCTGGGGGAACCACAAAGAAAAGACCAGCCCCGAACATCTACAGTCCAAGGGAGGCAGTTTGGCAACAGCATTAGGAGGCCAATCAGAGTGCTCCCCAACAACTATTGGGGGGAGCTCCCTTCCGGTGAGCAAGTTGCCATTTTAGCCAAGCCTTGATGGATGGATGGTAGGATCTGGCAGAAAGCTGGGGTGGAGAATGATCCAGCGGAGCTTCCGCGGAACAAGGAATGGAGGATTAAAAGCTATGGCTCACAGACTATGCTTGGGCTAGGGGAACTGCTGGACCGTGAGTTGGGGGCGGGGGTGCGGCCTAGGTGGGAGTGGTGAAAGAGGAGGCCAGCAGCCTCCTGAGGCTACCCATCTAAGGGCCCATAAGGACGCTGGTGACACTGGAACAGCGGTGACCAGCCCAGTAGGGCTTCCTGGGAGCCTGAGTCCCTGACTGCCCCCGCAAAGTGGCACAATGGGCTCTTGGCCCCAGCCATACTTCCCTCTGCCGTTTCCACGGTCAATCCTAAAAGCAGGTGAACCAGAATACACAGGAAGAGACACTTCTTTCCCTTGCAGTAGTTCCAGGCTAGAGATTTAAGCCGATTGGAAACCAGAATTTTGAAAAGGAGGTACCAACGGATGAGGGCAAAAGTTTGTTTAATTTTTGAAGACATCATACTCAATGACCACTAGATGGCACCATGGGCCCCTATTTTGAGGAACGACCCAAACACTGTCCCGGGTCTTTTTAACCCGAAGTGGAGGGTTTGGCTGGAGGAGAGACCTTTCTTTAAATGTCTGTAAGAATTTGACTTGAACTTTTGTTCTATCGGAGGAATTTCCTGTTATAATCAGGTAACACTGGCCTTGTTGGCAATCCTAAAACTCCAGGCCCTGGCTGATGCGAGGACTGTGCTCCTGCGCTCTGCCAGAATCGAGAAGCAGAAACGAGAGGGATCCTGAGTGAGGTGAGTGGTCAGTGTGAGACAGTGCGGATGATCCCTGCCGAATGTGTGTTTACAGAGATGGCTCAGATGAAAGGGCTCTGGGCCTGATTGGGGCTGGGCAGTGTAAAGGGATCGCTGTCATCTTCCTGACCTATGCAAGGGCACCACACTTCAGAAGTGAAACTGTTTCCCTTTATTCTATTGTTTAAAAATAGCTTTTTCCAAATTTGGGTCAAATGAATTGGGAAATGCTGGGCTCAGGGGGTGTCTTGTCTGTCCAACTTCTAACATTTAAAAATGACATTTTCCAAAGGACTAGGGATGGGGTGCCAAAGGGGTTTTAATGACATACAAGGTTATCTAGAATTATTTGAACGCAAAACTATTTTTCATACCTAGTCCTATCTCCAGGGACTAGTGCTTTTTGGAGCCCCACTTTAGAAAACATTTTTATTTTTTATGCTTTTTTTTTTAGAAAATATTTTTAGACAAGTATCATGCCAAACATCTCTTAATTTTCAGTTCTTGACTTCTAAATAAAGAATTACTGGCTACTAAACATAAATGAAGTTGTAGTTCTTTATATCTTCTATTAAAAAAAAAAAAAAAAAACCGACCTGGTCCTCTGGGGCTCTCTTTAGATTCCCCTGACGTGGTTTTTGGCGGGGGGAGCTTCTTTGGGGGCTCAGATAGTAAAGAATCTGCCTGCTAATGCAGGAGACCCAGGTTCAATCCCTGGGTCAGGAAGATCCCCTGGAGAACTTTTAGTCCTTACACTCAAAGACAGGTCTTTTTTGGTTCTGAATACAAGGCAACTATAAATAATATTTTTAAATGTCACTTCCGCTCCCTTTAAAGGTGCTACCGGGAGATGCTGCTTACCTGTTCCAACAATCATGCCATCCTGCAAAAACGCCAACCCTTAAGGCATTGTTTCCACAACCTGCATCAACCGCATTTATCAAACAATATTCAGTGTTGGCAAATCTGTGTCCCACTAGCAGAGCGCAGGCACGGATATATAGTAGGTGCTCAGTAAACTTGGGGTGTATGAGTGAAAGCATGAAATGAAAGAAGAGAATCAAGAAGGTGGAGTGTCGAGCAAAGCCGGAGTTTGAGAGGAAGTCAACGCAGCTGGGCCACGAGGGGGCGCGCCTCCCAAGGCCAACGCAGCCCAGCATCAAGTTACCCGCCCCTCGCAGGCACGGTGTCCCAGGACCCCAGCCGCTTCCTACTTGTTGTAGAGGACTATGTCTGGGATCCAGATCATCTCCGAAGGGACGCGGAGGGATGTGATGTTGCCGAAATCGACCGGGTTCCAGCGCAGCTTGTAGTCGCTCCACTCCTGTGCGTGGGGAAGGGAGTCCCGTAAGCGGCCCTGCCAGGGGAGGGGGCCTGGGGAAACCTCGGGCAGCTTAGGGACGCCCCGCAGCCGATTACAGAGCATCCGGAGCTCCTCACCCGGTCCTGCAGCATAGATAGGGCCACGATGCCCCCAAAGGGCCCTGAGGCGGGAAAGGGGAGTTCAGTCTAAGACGACCAAGCTCTCGGTTTGCCCCAACTCTAGTACTCAAAGTTCGGGTCACATCTGACCGTGGGTCACCCTACTCCCGCCTTTGTTATGCCGGTTCCTAGCTGGACGACCCCGGCAAAGAACCTCACTCATTTATAGTAACATTTCTTCAGTGCATCACAGTTTGCAAAGGTTTTTCACACCCTCTGTCTAGCAAGAGCCTCAATGGGAAGAGCTGGGCAAAGAGGGCAGAGCAGGTAGAAGTACTGCCCCATCTAACAGATAAGAAAACTGAGGACCACATGGGTAAAAACAACATACCAGAGTTACACTGCTGAGAAAGGACAGTCAACCAGTGACTTTCCAACTGTGCTCCAGAGCGCCCCCTGCTGCTGCTGTTGCTGCTGCTGCTAAGTCCCCCTAGCAGCCCTGATTCCTGGCTGGTTCACAGGAATCTGTGTTTTTCAAGTGAAGCTTAGAGGGTATGCCGTCAACAAGGGGCGGCGCTGGGACTTGAACCCAAGTCTCCGAGTCGTCAAACTTGCCCTAATTCTCGGGGTCATTTTCCTTTAGTGCATTTGCACTAAAATAGTGCAGTGGTGCACTCTTGAAAAGGCTCGAGTGCATGGTAACCTTTCCCCCCTAAGGATAGCTGTGCAACATTTATACAAACTCATCAACTGGGCAGGGGGTCCAAGAAGCAAAACAGGAGGCTTTGGAGGAGGCAGGCACATGAGAGGAAAAGCTTTGATCCTGCTCAATGATTCCCAGATTTCAAACACTCAAGCCCCAACTTCATAAGTTTTGCCCGTATATGTGCGCTACCTTAGCAGTGTGCTAGTGTTTACTTAGCTTTAGTATTAAGCATTTACTTAATATTTTCCTTTAAACTGATTCACTAGTTTTAAACTTACGTAAATTTTTGGATTTTACATCATGAAGTAGCTGGAAAACCCACATCATTTGAAGCCATCTACTAAAATATAAATGTATAACTTTTTTTTAAGAGGTTTTGAAGCCAACTAAAATCATCTCAAGAAACTGCCACTGGTAGCAAAACCACGCTTGGGAAGACATTGGCTTAGCAGTGGTGCTAATTAATTGTGTGTAGGTGAAAGCTTTGAAGAAGGAAATGGCAACCCACTCCAGTACTCTTGCCTGGAAAATCCCATGGATGGAGAAGCCTGGTAGGCTACAGTCCATGGGATCTCAAAGAGTCAGACATGACTGAGCGACTTCACTTTCACTTTCAGTTGAAGGCTTAGACAGAAAGAGAAGCCAGATTGCAAAACAGGAAAGATAAAAATGTTCCTAAAATTGTCATGATTTTTCAGGACATTGAGGAACCATTTTGAAAGGGATTGGTCTTTATAAATATTTCCCTTTCCCCCAGTCCATTGTGTGTCAGTTTTCAGATTCGACCAACAGTTGAGGGGCATCCACACCAAGTTGGGTTATATGAATTGGCAAATGGATTGTAGTATCCCCATCTTACAGATGAGAAGAGTGAGGCTCTGAGACTAACTTGCATGGTATCACAGGCTGGTCAGAGGCGGTGCTGTTGGCCTGACTCCTGCTGCAGTGCTTCTTTCTCTCTTTACTACCCCAGTCCCTGAAGCCAAGATAACTGGCCCACAGGGACACTTGCAGTCAGCCAGGTTCAAGATCTGATCTTTGCACTGCTGTGGCCTCCCAAGTCCCTTCATGGCTCTGCATCTCCTCTGTAGAGAGGAACCTCATGCCCCCCACAGTTCCAAGGTCAACAGCATCAGAGGGGTCTGATCCATGTCATCCATCTAAACATCCAGTTGTCAAGCCTGAATGGCAGGCAGACAGCCCCACACAACCTACAGCCTATGGAGCGGGAATGGCACATCAGACACTGACAGTATTATGTTCATTCAAAAGACTCAGACAGGACGTCCCTGGTGGTCCAGGGTTAAGAAGCTGGCTTGCTACTGTATAGCACAAAGAACTATAGTCAATATCTTATAATAACCTATAGTGGGAAATAACTTCAAAAATAATGCATGTGTATAACTGAATCACACAAAAAAGAAACCTACTTTTAAAATTTAGTTATGTTTATCTCTTTGCCAGTTTTTCTAAATGTCCTATGGACATTAATAACAGCATATGAGATACGAAAGTTTAAATATATTTGTGTAGGCTATAAGATTTATACAAACTAATATAAATGGAAATCTATCATATTTTAGTTGTTAATAACATCATTCAAGATGATGCTCCTATTCTTATTTTTTCTGCACTTGATAAAATATTCTGAGAAAGATGTTAACATATCTCACTATTATATATTTTATTCTTTTCCCTTCTATTTCTTCTGATTTTTGCTTTATATATCTTAGTTTCTTTATGTTAAGTGTCTAATGGTTTATGATGTCTATCTTCTTTGTGCATTGTACCTTTTTTCATTAAAAATATTCATCTTTGTTTCATTTAACAATAAATTAACTTTAAGAAAAGAATCTGACTTGCAATGCAGCAGATACGGGTTGGACCCCTGGTTTGGGAAGATCCCACACGCTGGGGAGCGGCTAAGCCCTCATGCAGCAACTGCTGAAGCCCGAGCGCACCCCATACTCTGCAACGAGAGAAGCCACAACAACGAGAAGCACGCACCCCGCAACTAGAGAAAGCCCATGCGCCGCAACGAAGACCCAGCACAGCCAAAAATAAAAAATAAATATATATATTTTAAAATGACTCAAACAGAAATGTCCATCAAAATTCTGATGGTTATGGTTTTCAGAGTGCCAGCCTCTGAGATGGGGAGGGTTATGTTGCCAGTGGGTTGGGGAAAAGACACCATGGGAGAGACGTAGGCAAACGGCTGGGCCTTCTTTCTCGTCTTCTCCCATCTCCACTTCAGGGTCTGGGGCAGTGTGAGCATGAGGAGGGCAAGGGAGACAGATCTGAAATGCCCGTGCACCCGAGTTCTGCCCTTGTGAGTGGCACATCAAAGAGGGCCACCCACCCATTACCAGAACTGATGCTGAGCCAGTTTCTGGTTAAGAGGCAACAACTACATTTCCTGTCTCATGGGACCCTTTCCCTGGGGTCCCTGGGCCATCAGGTGAGGAGTCCAGCTCCTCTTCTGGAGAGAACAGATGGAGAGACCCTGAAAGTGCCTGGAGGAGAAGGCATGGCTGGGCCTGGCTTCCAGAGTCTTTCAGAGCCTTCCAGACATCCCTGCTGAGGGATGGACATGTGAGTGAAACCACCTTGGACCCTCCAGCCACCAGCCAAGTGCCACCAGGAGACCCCAAGCAAAGCACTAAAACGCCTGGCCATAAAATCTCTTGGTATAATAAGCTGTCTGTTGCTTTAAGCCGGGGAGGTTAGGGGAAGCCTGTTAGGCAGCGTCGACACAGAACACTCAGTGTTCTGCAGTAGAAGGAGCCTGGGATACCAAGTGGGACACATCTTCTAGCTGAGATGCACTCTGCTTCGGTTTCCCTCGGCTGTAAAGCGGGCAGAATAAAACCGCCCATGTTTTCAGTGACAATTCAGTGAGCTGACCTGCAAATGTAGCAGCGATGTAGGCAATGTCCACTCCCGGAAAGGGGACCACATGGCCCTTGTAGGTGGGGTCTCTGACACTGGACTCGGAGCCTGGCCACAGGAGCACAGCCCCTCGCAAGGAGCGGCCTGCAATCGGCTGGCTTTGCTGAGTGGCAGGTCTCAGGCAAAAGGTGAATTTTGAATCATGCTGCTAGTGAAAGCGTCCTGGGAGGGTCTGGGGTTCTTGACTTCCCACCCAGCTCCTGCCTTGCCCAGGGGAGGGACACTCACCTGCTTTAGCCAGACGTTGGTAGTCATCATCTGGTTCTTCTCATCCTGACCAGTAGCGGAAGAGAAAGCAGTTAGACTGAGGAGCCAGCCCCAGAAAACAGGGCAGAGTGGGAGGAGCTGATTCAGGACCCCACTCACCAAAGAAGCTTTGGCATGACACCCCAAGTCCAGCCCACCCTCCACCCCTCCTGGTACTGCCCTCTTCACTCTGATTCTTCAGGATCACACAGGACCCTGGGGCCTCTGGGCTTATGTCAGGTGACACAAGTCGGGCATTCAGAAAACCCACTGCTGCCAATCAACGCCCTCCCTGGAGGGGCTCCAGGGCTGAGAGTGGGAGGGAGACAACACCTTTGACATTGAAGGGTGATGCTCTGACTGAGGTGGGCTGGGAGGGCTGGAGATGGGAAGGAACAGAGGAGCCCTGGAAAGGGGTCCATGTCCGGGGCTGATCCCAAGGGGGAAGGATGGTAGGACAGACGCACCACATCGATGAGCTGGGCGATAGACAGCCCGAAGCGCACGATCACCACGTCTGAGGTGTTGGGCACTGGCCTCGCCCAGCGGTTGTAGCCCCTAAAGAGGTGTTTGAAGAGGCGGTCCTCAGCTTGGGTGTGGGGGGCCCTCTCCGAGGATACTGTTGGACAGGAGGGGAGATGAGGGTTTCCAGGAGTCCGTGGTGCTGGGCGCTTGGCTCCCTCTCCCATCCAACCAGAGCCACTCAGCCTCACTGAACCTTAGTTTCCTTATCTGCAAAATGGGCACACTAATCCAGCACCTATGCAAAACACTGCTGAGAATGAAATATAATAACGTCTGTTTGAGCTTACAAAGCAGCCGATCAGTGCATAGTCGGCACTCAAGCAATATCAGTTACTCTGTGACTATTGGGGAAGGACTGGTGCTGAAGCTGAAGCTCCAGTACTTTGGCCACCTAATGCAAAGAGCTGACTCATTGGAAAAGACCCTGATGCTGGAAAAGATTGAGGGCAGGAGAAGAAGGGGGCAGCAGAGCATGAGATGATTAAATGGCATCATTGACTCAATGGACATGAGATTGAGATGGTGAAGGAGATGGTGAAGGACAGAAGCCTGGCGTGCCAAAGTCAATGAGGTCACAAAGAGTCAGACACAACTTAGCAACTGAACTTAGCAACAGTGGATAAGGGGGGAAAACAAGTGCTCAGAGGGGTGCAGAGCAGTGGGAAGAAGTCAGACAGAGGGACAAGATTAAGCCTGAAACTGAGGAGACCCAAGGGACAGCAAACTGTGAGAAGCACCTGATTGTGTGGGGTGAGCTGGCCCCTGGAGCTTTCACTCCCATCCTCTTATAAGAAACCTCTAATGCTAACCATGAAATTCTCTGCCACTCGGAGAATCTTCCCTGTTTTTCCTCAAACCACTGGTATCCGCTCCTTCTCATCAGCTAGGCAAAGTGTCCCCAGATTGTCTGATGGAATCACCCTTGTCTGGTTTCACCCTGTTCTGCAAACAGCTTCACCTCCTCAGGATTTTCCTGCTGAGCAGGTCGAGAACCAGTGCTCGAAAATTCAAAACACCGACAGCACCTGCCATGTGTGTTTCTCAGGTGTGAGTCACTAGCCTTCGTTCCTTCACACACCCAAGATCCCTGGGAGGGTCACAGCACAGTTTGCAATCTGCAGCTGGGGAGTACTGGGCTTGGGAGGCTCAGATGCCACAGCAAGCGCCCCCTGCCTTCCCGCGATGCAACAGCTACCCCCCACCCCGACCTCGAGGCTCTGGCGGGCCACCACCAGCCCACTTGCATCAGTTTCAGCCCAAGGCATGTGCGCTCACACGTGTGACAGGATGCCCTGGGGACCGCTCCCGCTCACCTGCCGGGATCAGAAGAAGCCACCAGAGTCCGAGCTTTGTCTTGAACGGGAGCACAAGCCGGGAGGGACCCATGGCTTCAGAGGCGGGGTCTGGCTGCTGCTGGACTTCAGAAGGAAGGCCGGCTTGGGGCTGACTGTGGGTTGAAGCTGGGACCACTCCCCCAACAGGGCATGGGGAGCTAGCACAGCAGAACTCCCTGGGGGATTCCGAGGGGCTTCCCTCTCACCTTAGAACCTGAGTGAGACCAGCAAAGTGTTCTTAGGGTGATGCCTCCTTGACACAAGAAGGCATCACCTCCAGTGCCTCACACCTTTGACCTCATTTGGACTTCCCATCATTCCTAGGAAGGTAAGGGGAAGGGGATAGTATTGTCCTTTTTATTTAAATTAAAAATACTGCTGATCAGAAAAATGGACTAATTTGCCCAAGGTCACATAGTTATTGATGCTTTTGAATTGTGGTGCTGGAGAAGACTCTTGAGAGTCCCTTGGACTGCAAGGAGATCAAACCAGCCTATCTTAAAGGAAATAAACTCTAAATATTCACTGAAAGGACTGATGCTGAAGCTGAAGCTCCAATACTTTGGCCACCTGAGGCGAATAGCTGACTCACTGGAAAAGACCCTGAGGCTGGAAAAGACTGAAGCAAAAGGAGAAGAAGGCGGAAGAGGGTGAGATGGTTAGATAGCCTCTCTCACTCGATGGACATGAGTTTGAGCAGACTCCGGGAGATAGTAGAGGACAGGGAAGCCTGGTGTGCTGCAGCTCACGAGGTCGCCAAGAGTCAGACACAACTTAGCAAGTGAACAACAGCAACACAGTCAACACATGATGAAGTTGGAATTCAGGCTCACACCTCAGCTTCTCGACTATGACGTGCTCTAGTGCTGCTCAGTGGTGGCAACTAGAAAGATAATTTTGGGTACTGGCCTGCGTTTTGTAGGTTGTGACTGTCATTGCTCTGCCACAATCACAACTAAGATCTGTGACAGACAGGTGGTGACAAGGCCCAGGTGCCCCACACCAAAGCCAGTCTCGCCTAAATCCAAAGTTGTAGGAGGTTGCTCCGTGCACAGCTTCATTCCCTTCTCCTTCCAACCAGTATCATGGCTGCAGATCCCAAGATTATAATCTGTTTCACCTTCCAACCAAGGGCACTAAATAGAAGCATGTTTTTTTCCCCACTCGTGAGAATAGGGGGAAAAGAAGTAGAAATCAAGGCATGCTGAACTTGCATCATATGAAGATTCAACCAGAGACATCCGGGACCCTCTGGAAGAATGTGCAAATGAGATTCAGTAGACTAGGGTGGACATATTCCTGCAAGAAGACTCACCCTTGCATATCTTGTAATTAGTCCACTATGATAATTTAATTAATTTGTCACTGTAAACCAAAGGAGAAGCTTTTCCAGGTAATTAGCAGTAATTAGAGTAAACTTCCACCTCTTGTTAGAAAGATATGAAAAGAGAAAGAGCCCCAAACCCTTTTATCTTCTACATGCCTGGATTGGCAGGTTGGAGGGCAGTGCCTGCGGGGTGATGACCCTGTTTGTAAGGTGGGTCTGGACAAAGGGGGTGCACATGGAAAGCTATACGAGAAGTGTTGCATAAATAAAGGACTCAAGGCTTCTGTGTGGCTCAGCTGGTAAAGGATTTGCCTACACTGCAGGAGACCTGAATTCGATCGGGTCGGAAAGATCCCCTGGAGAAGGGAATGGCTACCCACTTCATTATCCTTGCCTGGAGAACTCCATGGACAGAGGAGACTGGCGGACTACAGTCTATGCGGGTTGCAAAGAGTCAGACATGATGGAGTGACTAACACTTTCACTTTCATTTCAAAGGGCTCAGACACGCTCACTGGGTTTGCATTGCCTTGATGTACCAGGGTCACTAGAGCTCCCCACCCCCCAACTCAAGTCAGCCTCTCTTGCCCACGTCCTGAACCCTGATTCCACTGAAGTTAAGGTGGTGTGCACTGACTTCTTTGTCCATCTTCCCACGGCAGCTGGTTTTCAACTTCTCACACTGTTCTGCTCTTTTCACAAGGCCCACCTTCTCCATAAAACCGGCTTGCATCTCGCCGAGCCCTGTCTGTTACCCGGCACATCCCCAGGCATGGGAGAAATTGTTCTCCTGTAACTGTCAGTATCCCAGAGAAAGTCCCTTGATTAGAGGAAATAATAGTGTTTCTTCTTCCAAATCACTTCATCAGAACTGCTTAGGCAGTGATAGAGAGAGCCTATTTCTAGCTTTCTTATGATCGGCTCAATACATTGATTAATCACAGAAGCTTAATCTCTCAAGGTTGGATGGAATCTTAAAGGTCATCTGGATTACCACACCAGCTGGTCATTTTCCTGGTCATTTTCTTCTACAAATTCCAGCCTCAGGGGAAAAAAAAAAAAAACAGCAATGATAGAACTTGCCACCCTCCAAGTCAATGAATAACATGGATGTCTGTTAGCCTTTATTCAAGGGTATGGAATACTGAGTGAATAAATAAATGACAAAAGAGGAATAGTGATATTAAAGAAACAGAAGCAGATTCAATAAAGTAAAGCCAATAATGCCTGAGATGGAGCTACCTTCACAGTGAGAGGAGGTGACTGACACTGGACTTTTACAACCCCAGCAGGGACAACCAAAAAACTAAAATTTTTCTAGAGGCAGGCATCTTCCAGAAGTCCGACATACACCCACTCCCACCCCCAAGTACCCAGAAGCTGCTGATCCTCTCATATTCCTTTGAATCACCCACTTAATGTCCACATACCCATCAAGTCACCAATACCAGTGGCGGGCGGGGGAGGGACACCTTTCTTACCTGTGACCACCGAAGACAAGCCATTCAACAAACCAGCCCGGTTTGGAGGTCCTGATCAGCTGGCAAAGGCTCCCCCCTCCACCCCAAGAATAGAAAGACAGGCACAAACCAAGGCTAGGTGACTTCTCTTCCTGGTCAAACAGATGCTGGGGCAGGACTCGCCTTGGTGCGTGAGAAAGGTTTGACTCTGACAGGCAGCTTGGCTTCCTGGGGAGGGCTGGGCAAATTCTGAAGTCAGGCTGCTGTTTCCAGGCTCTCACCTCTGGAGGCAGAGAAGCTGCACATTTAAGTCCTACCGAAGAGCCTGGCATGGAGGCTTCTGCAGGTGAGAGTCAGGCGGGTCCAAGGGAGGGATCGCCAGCTTGGCAAGCACGCAGATTCATGCTCGTATTCTGTCTCTCTCTCTCTCTCTCTCTCTTATATACACACACACTCTGGAGGGGAGGGGGAGGAGCCTCTGAATTTCCAGTGCCTGTCCAGTGGGGACCGACAGCAGATTGCTCGCCCTCTGCGTGGTTACCAGGATGCTTCATTCTTTGCTCTGAAGGATTCTGTGCTCCAGGATCACTTTCTGGGCCCCTGACCCTCACCCATAGATGGGGAACCTCCTAGGTCCATCTGTCAATAGAGCAGTGCAGTTCTGAGTAAAGCAGGACCACGGAGAGAGCTGCAGGTCAGCAACCTGCCGTCCTCTCCTTCCCCTCCCCTGCTAGGAACCCCCACCCCCGCCCCGCCTCCTCCCCGCATCCAGCCTCCTGCAGGACCCCGGGGTGACTCATGCTGAGACCTGGTTTGGCTACAGCTTTCCTGTCTCCTCCTCAGCCCCCTTGCCAGTGACCTTGCCTTCAATTTCCCAGACAAGTAAGGTCACCTGACTTCAGACCAGAAACTGACCCCTTGCCGCCTCCTGGACCACATCAAACCAGGACTTCTGCTCCTCTTGCCATGTATGGTGTATGGTGGAGCTTGGCCGTGGGGTTCTGACAGCAACTCCATCTATCAAACTTCCCCAGGCTTCTTCATCTCTTCCTCTCCTCCTTGTTCCTGCCCCTCAGCCCATAAGGAAGCTCATCCTCCATCCTAAATACACCCTTTGGGGTCTGCTCCCTGCTGTCTCATCTCCCACATATTGTTAAAAGCCAAGGACCCAGCACATGACTGCCAAGGTTTAGCTTCTGGTTCTGTTCCCTAAAAGCTGTATGATTTTGGGCAGGTCTCTAGTAGAGCTTTCTGTGCCTCAGTTTCCTCATGTGTGAAAGGAGGATGGAACAACAGGCTGGTTCCAAATAGGAAAGTACGTCAAGGCTGTATATTGTCACCCTGCTTATTTAACTTANACTCTGGCCACCTCATGTGAAGAGTTGACTCATTGGGAAAGACCCTAATGCTGGAAAGGATTGGGGGCAGGAGGAGAAGGGGATGACAGAGGATGAGATGGCTGGATGGCATTGCCGACTCGATGAACATGGGTTTGGGTGGATGCCAGGAGTTGGTGATGGACAGGGAGACCTGGCGTACAGTGATTCACGGGGTCGCAAAGAGTTGGACATGACTGAATGACTGAACTGAACTGAAAGGAGGATGTGAATACTGGTTCCACTGAATAAGTGTGTGATGACGAGTAAAGGAGTTAGTATAAATAAAGGGCTTAGAAAGTGGAAGTTATACATGATACATATATGTAGATATATAAATATACATGTGATACATATGTGTGATATATACAAATATGGGAGCTCTGGTGACTTAGCAGTAAAGAATCTGCCTGCAATGCAGGAAATATGGGCTCCATCCCTGGCTTGGAAAGATCCCCTGGAGGAGGGAATTGCAACCCACTCGTCTTCTTACCTGGAGAATCCCATGGACAGAGGATCCTGGCGGGTTACAGTCCATGGGATCGCAAAGAGTTGAACACAACTGAAATGACTGGGCACTCATGCACACACATATGCAAATATGATACACAAGAGTGTATATTTACATATGTGTAGATGATAGGTTCTCTTTTGACAAAAAGATAATAACCCATAAAATACAAAAAATTTAACCACCCGTATTCCCATTATCCAGAATTAATAAATGTTAATATTTTACCATATGTACTTTCACATTGATATATGTGGATATTTCTGTGTGCATAAACTACTAAAGGCATAAAGAGAGAAAGATGAAGGAAGGAAGGAAAGGGGAAAACAATCATTGACTGTATCAATCACGGTTTTTGGTTTGAGCAATAAAAAAAATCTATTGATTAAGTAGAAAGCAATTTTATTAAGGGCAACGGGAAGTCCACGGGTGCACTTACAAAGAGAGAGAACCCCGTTGGGACGCAGGTGAGAGTGAGGGAAATGCCAGTCGGACTAGAGCCGGAGTCACAAGCCGTGCCCTGCGCAGGGGGCCCTGATGCCACAGGACCGGAAGTGAAGGCTTGCACCGTCTGTCACGGGTTCTGTGTCACCGCTGTCCCTGGAAACCAGCCCTCCCGCTGCTGCCAGAGTTGCTTCTCCTCCCTCCCTGCTTCTCTGTGTCACTGGCTCCCAAGACAAAGGTCAGGACAGATGCATCTGATGAAACTAG